TAATTCAGAATTCCCAATTGCAGCCAAGGAAAGACTTTTCCGTACTTATTTACGATAAACTTCTAATTGCATAACTATCGGGTTATCGGGTTATTGCAAAAGTAATTTTGGCTTTTCAAATAGATAATTTACGAAAAACCGAAATTACTTTTAGCAACACGTTTAATATCGCGATGTAAAAATTAAAGTAATAACAAGTACGTAATCCGAAATGAGCTGCATAATTAGAAAAGCTAAGCAGCTAATAGGTATGTTTAAGTAAAAAGTCGAAGCAGTTCGTACGACGATGTGAAAATTAATGGAATAATAGGCATTGCAAATGTACCTTAATACGTCGAAGTAAAAATTGAAGCAGGTAATATAAAAAAATTGAATGATTCGATACGATGATGCAAAAATTTGAAGTATTAATAAGGCGATAATTAATAAATAATTTATTATTATATATATTTTATTATATTAAATTTATATATATTATAAAGTATATATATATATATATATATTTATATATCATTTATATATTATACATATTATATATATTTATATATATATTTTATTATATTAAATTTATTATTATATTTTATTTATTATTATATATATTTTATATATAATAATTTGATAATTACCAATCAATCCCGAATGCGCCGCCATTTTGGCCGATGCACGGGGGCCCGCAGGTATCGCTAACAAACTTGTCACAATCGGAACGGCTCGGTAAGAGCAGGGAGTGGCAGGGCCAGAAGGGAGGGCACAAAGAATCCGCCGAGTCAACGAAGATAATAACAATTCCTGCGGCCGGAATTCGTGGTGGGTCGGCTGAAGACCGGAAGTCGGTGTCTCCCCGCAGCCTTTCGGCGCCGTGCGGGAAACAATGCGAACGTATCGTAGATAATCGATCGGCGAAAGCACCAGTAGCCGGCCATAGATGCAGATAGCCGTGGGTTACGATCTCCTCCTTCTTCTTCTACCTCGTCTTTCACCTCCTTTTGCCCATCCTCGTCTATCTCTTTCCCGTCCACTCGCCGCCGACGTGGGCATATCTGCGGGGAAGAATAACGATTCGCCTCGTTACAATGGTAAAGGACGATCCTCTCTTCGGCACGATGTTCTCGTACCTACTGCGATCGCCGACATTAGTCATCTCCGGTCCGGGCTTAACGATGTTGTCTGACAATGTTTGCGAGATGGAAAATTGAACGGCAGGAAACCGGGCTGCGGATAACGATATTGCGCAAGTTCGGACTGTCCCGACAAGTTCGCCTGTCGGTTCGGAAGATGTCAAGCTTTACGTTTCAATTTCCGCACGGAGCGTAAACCAATGTTTTGGATTGCCGCGAACGGCTGATTTCTCCAGCTCTGTATTTCATGGTGTTGGCGCACACGAAATGTCGGATTTCTTGATCGGTACGTTGGCGAATTCTCCACGAGGGACTCGAAAGAGATCAATTCCGTGTTCGCAATCACGCGAAGACGAGCTTGAAACAAGTTCGAAAATGATCGTGCACGGAGGAGTTAAGTAGCCTAACTCGACTGGTTCTAACGTGTTATCGTACATCGACACGCGCAACAGCAACTGTTTTATATTGATTTCAGCAACGAAAATTAATGTATTCTATATCGTCGTCTTTTTGCGTTTGTGGAACATCAGACGGAATCGAATGATATCGATTCGAATCCTCGGAGTTCAATGGCTAGGCGAATGATCAACCGCGAGTCAGTTATCTATTTAAGAGACGATGTTTGGCATCCGGTAGGTAAAGTATTAATATTAGTTTACAACGTTCGGTGCGCTTTAACTTTCTCAGAATGAGAATTAAATAAAGTGGATGACAAGCGAATTAAACGAAGACTTTCCAAGAACGAAGATCATATAAAAGACGAACAAGCTTCATCGAATCTATCTTTGATCGTGAAACATTCGCATAAACCGAACTTTACTAGAACTCGTAGGATCTAAAAAGATCCGAAGGACGTTCGAATTCCAGCTTCGTTGGCCAAACTGTTCCGATCCCGTGGGATTTGTCGAGGTGGGAAATCGGCAACGGCCACGCTAAATCACGTCCATTACCGATGGCCGAATGGCGCGTCCGTGCCGCATCGCTATCAGCCGAGGAGCGAAAAGGAGGCTTTCGAAGGATAATTGCTCGCGATCGTGGACGGTGAGATAATGTACGACATAGTCGTTTTATAGCGATCGTGAACAGAAGTCGTATAGCTTAGACGATAACGCGCGGATAGCCGGGGCACCGTCTTAATAGAAGTTTCACCATAATCCGCCCACCCGTCTAATAAATACGCAGGCCATTAAACGGCAGTCACTCGCGTATCTTAAGTTTAATAGCGCTCCGCGTTGAATTCGTCCGGTTGTCGAGTACGATAGCAACTGGTAGACCGGTAATCGGTGATAGCCAGCTGCGGTATCGACGGGGGACCTTACTTTTCGATGGTATCTGCGAAATAGAAACAAACGAACGGACGGGCGAACGAACGAACGAAGGAAAGAACGAAGGAACGAAGGAACGAACGAACGAACGAAGGAACGAACGAACGAACGAACGAACGGNCGGCACGATGTTCTCGTACCTACTGCGATCGCCGACATTAGTCATCTCCGGTCCGGGCTTAACGATGTTGTCTGACAATGTTTGCGAGATGGAAAATTGAACGGCAGGAAACCGGGCTGCGGATAACGATATTGCGCAAGTTCGGACTGTCCCGACAAGTTCGCCTGTCGGTTCGGAAGATGTCAAGCTTTACGTTTCAATTTCCGCACGGAGCGTAAACCAATGTTTTGGATTGCCGCGAACGGCTGATTTCTCCAGCTCTGTATTTCATGGTGTTGGCGCACACGAAATGTCGGATTTCTTGATCGGTACGTTGGCGAATTCTCCACGAGGGACTCGAAAGAGATCAATTCCGTGTTCGCAATCACGCGAAGACGAGCTTGAAACAAGTTCGAAAATGATCGTGCACGGAGGAGTTAAGTAGCCTAACTCGACTGGTTCTAACGTGTTATCGTACATCGACACGCGCAACAGCAACTGTTTTATATTGATTTCAGCAACGAAAATTAATGTATTCTATATCGTCGTCTTTTTGCGTTTGTGGAACATCAGACGGAATCGAATGATATCGATTCGAATCCTCGGAGTTCAATGGCTAGGCGAATGATCAACCGCGAGTCAGTTATCTATTTAAGAGACGATGTTTGGCATCCGGTAGGTAAAGTATTAATATTAGTTTACAACGTTCGGTGCGCTTTAACTTTCTCAGAATGAGAATTAAATAAAGTGGATGACAAGCGAATTAAACGAAGACTTTCCAAGAACGAAGATCATATAAAAGACGAACAAGCTTCATCGAATCTATCTTTGATCGTGAAACATTCGCATAAACCGAACTTTACTAGAACTCGTAGGATCTAAAAAGATCCGAAGGACGTTCGAATTCCAGCTTCGTTGGCCAAACTGTTCCGATCCCGTGGGATTTGTCGAGGTGGGAAATCGGCAACGGCCACGCTAAATCACGTCCATTACCGATGGCCGAATGGCGCGTCCGTGCCGCATCGCTATCAGCCGAGGAGCGAAAAGGAGGCTTTCGAAGGATAATTGCTCGCGATCGTGGACGGTGAGATAATGTACGACATAGTCGTTTTATAGCGATCGTGAACAGAAGTCGTATAGCTTAGACGATAACGCGCGGATAGCCGGGGCACCGTCTTAATAGAAGTTTCACCATAATCCGCCCACCCGTCTAATAAATACGCAGGCCATTAAACGGCAGTCACTCGCGTATCTTAAGTTTAATAGCGCTCCGCGTTGAATTCGTCCGGTTGTCGAGTACGATAGCAACTGGTAGACCGGTAATCGGTGATAGCCAGCTGCGGTATCGACGGGGGACCTTACTTTTCGATGGTATCTGCGAAATAGAAACAAACGAACGGACGGGCGAACGAACGAACGAAGGAAAGAACGAAGGAACGAAGGAACGAACGAACGAACGAAGGAACGAACGAACGGACGGACGGACGGACGGACGTGTATGCCGCATTCCGTGTTTATTATTTTGCCGGTGGGTGGTCCGAAGAAGTCTAGAGCCGTCTTGGTGGCCGATAGCATCTCTTGCGTCTCTCATGTGCACGCACCGTTGAACGCGGCCAACGCAGTGAACGAACGTGGCGCACCGAGTCGTCTTGCGTAAGGAAGTAGTCGACTTCTCTCCTTCCCCTACGCCCATTCTCCATTCTCCCCTTCTCATCAGATCCTCGTTCCTTCACGGACCTTCGATTTCCTTCTGTCCTCCTTTGTCCACCACCGGCAACGATACCTTCCCCCCCCATTTCCGCGCCAGAAAACTATCAAAACCTCTTTTTACTACACGCTTTTTCATCCTCGCCGCTTTTTTCCCTTTCTTCTTGCTGCCCGTCGACATACTTCAGAGTGTTCCTCCACTTCGCACCTTTTTGTATATTTTCTCGATCGGTTCCCGTGGTTCCCGTAATCAATTCGAGTTGCACCAGAGATTGTCCCCTCTTTCAATTATCTTTTTATCGGTTACGTATGTTTTCGGGAAGGGAAAACAGTGCGGTACGATTCAAATTGGATTCTATGCGATAAGGATTTTTATATTCTTTTTTAAAAAAAAAGTTTTAATTGTTGCAGCCGAAAGATCAAATTGCTTTCATTCCTGTAAGTCTAAAGTCCTTTTCTATATCATTATTTCGTTGTAGTTCTTTAAATAGAAAATAGATAGAATTCGAATTATATTTTATACGAAATTGTTGTATTCTTTCAAAGAAATTGTTATTTCCGTAGATCATGAGTCATGCGGTATTCGTTCCAATAATATTGGCTCACCGTTTGTAAAAAAGGTAACGATTCTTAATCCTTAATTGATATGTTTATTTGGTAAAGTTTACTCACCAAATATTTCGTATGTATTCTTAAATATTATATTTTGTGACAGTATTGTATGTCTCTTACTATTGTATATTATTGGTTAGTATTCTGTATTACTGTATATTATTGTATATTAATATCCGGTAATAGCGAAAACCAATATTAAAGAATATTCGTGTAGTGACGAGACATACACATGTTAAAATAAGTTGAAATCTACGAAAATATTTTCAAAAGAGTTCGAGCCTATCTCGTCTGAACGTCGAATCTATTCGAAAGTGTTGATTTTTTTGTTCGCGGTGCTCGTGGGACATTCGAAACTGTCCAACTAGATCCGTATCTACTTTTAATGCACATGCTTAATCCTATCTCTAACGTGGGCATAAAATCCGCCGTTCGCAGATTAAAAATCGCGTGAAATGCAAGCCCTTCGATCGCAATTTATCGCGAGCCTGCTCGAGCAAGAATTAAAGATAAAATTTCGTTGAGAATTACAGCGAAACGAGTGCCGGGGAGCGGTTAATTAATTGCGATCCGACTTCATTGAGTGGCTCCACCGCGGCCGCGATACCGCAGCGATGGTGCACCGATGCCCTGGTACGATGCAACCCGAGCTACAGAGGTGCATATTGTGGAAAATAGATCCACAGGGGACTCCGTTGCTCCTTCTGCGCTCTGTTTCAGCCTCGGCTTCCCTCGGCTATCTCGCTCTCGCACTCATTAAGCCGATGCAGCGTCGGCGAAGATCAAAGCCCGTCTTCTACGGAGGACCGCTTAATACTGGGTGGCGAGCTAAGAGTGTCGTAAAAATTATTAACGGTCCCTCCGCACGCTGTGCCTTATCGCCGGATCGGCAACTACAGTTGGGTGCATTCGTCGAACTTGCCACCACAATGTGCAATGACATTTCCCATCGGCTTCGGTCCCCGGAGCACTTGAACGTCTTATTGTGACAATTCCTATCTTCGGCCAGCTTTTTTTTGCTCACTTTTCCGAAAGGGAAACGATCCGAGTGGTCGAAGCGGTAAATGAAACTTTCTTGCTCGTTCTCGTGAAGACGATAGACTCGCCTATTTCGGTAGATATGCTGAAAAATTCCATAGTGTTAAATTTGTCAGTGAAAACGAAATTAATTTGTTTGGTTCAAATTGATGAGCCGAAGCATTCTGTTGAGTATACTTACAAATGAACATTGCAGAACGGAGTTATATAATTAACTATGAATAATAATGACAATTTTACGTTATTTGGTCACTAGCATTAGCTGCTTACCGATGGTATGGTCGCCGATCTTCAGAATTTGGCAATATGTGGATGCAATAAAAAAGTTGTCCCTATCAGAAATCTTATTAACGTTGATATTGTATAGTCCGATGATTGTACCGTAATGCCTCTAATGAATAAACTGCAGGTAAATTGCAGCAAAGAGGAGTAAAATCGACATTTATTTTCATTTTCAACGGTTTCAATAAATTGAGGATAACGTGACACAATCCCAAAATTCTTCCCTTGTATTTACTGTTTTGTATTCCACCCACTCGCTTCAGTTGTAAATGCATAAAATCCGCAGTTTAGTAATGAAGACGTAATTGATGCGTCGATCAATGAAGGCTGAAAATACATAATACATACACACATTGTTTTAATCTCGAACACAAACGGACTATACAGAGATTTCATTTCCATCCCCGAATCTTCTCGATCCGACGCATCCCGCTCAATGGACGTTAACTACCGCAAATAAAATGCAACCGACCGTCGAAACTCGTATAAGTTTTCTTTACACATACTTCGGCCGTTATTTCACCAACACACGGAACCGTCCGCGCGTTTGATATCCTCTTCGACGCCGCACAGTGGAGTGTCCGGCGCCGAAATTTGGTAAAAATTGTATTGTTCGTTTTTGCTAGAACAACAATATTTGAGAACGGCATAATATCGTTATTATAAACAATTTCACAGAAAATTGCACGAAATAAAATGTTCGCGTATAAATTGAGAAACGATTATAAATATTACATGTTTCTTTGTATTATTCTACTTGAATGATTGTACTTGAATACAAATTCTCTGATTTTCTGAAGGACAATATTTAACGGAATATCAAGGACACGCTTGTATAAATGACCTATGTAAAGAAAATAATTGGTACAATTCCCTTGCGACGTTAGAAAAGGTGACATATGGGTGACACTAATTTTTTACCAGTTTTGAAAATTCATTTTGAACAAACTGAATTTTACCAAGATGATTAAGATATGAAAAAAGTTAAATACCATCCACTAGGATAAATTTGAACTTTCAAGTTTCTGTTGAGAGAGAAACAATACCTATCACTAAACTATTTACTTTTAATAACATTATAATATATATACGTGTAACGTATATATATAACGTATACGTATAATAATAATAATATATAATTATATATATATAATATAATAATAATAATAAATATATATATATATAAAATAAATTAATATAATATATACATATATAACGTATACGTATAACGTTATAATATATATAATAATATATTACAATATTATAAACAATATGAAATATTATAAATCAGATTTTTTCAATCGACTTTTGTCCAATTTCCGAGATCAAATACTCCACCATGCGTCGGCTACACGAGACTCGGGCATTAAGTTACCCAAACAATGAATGTCCGAGGCTCGTTTATGTTCTGCCAGGAAGAAATATCAGTGGTCGCAATTTGCGGGGCGATCCCGAATTTTTATAGTCGCATAAGTTTTTTGGAGTGATCCCGGGGCTGAGGTACCGCTTCTTCTTTTCCTTCCTTTGCTATCTCAATCCGGTCGTGGTCAATGAGATTCGCGGTCGGGAGAGACCCGAGGATCGGCAGAGCGGAATAAAGACACGCGTCGGTCCGCGCCAGAATTGAAAATTGTCTCGGATTCGGTGGAACAGGGTGTCGGGCTTGGTGGCGCCGTGGGTGGTCCCGTATTTACACGTTACCTCTTTCGATCTGCCAGTTTGTCTCGCGCTCTTTTTCTCTCTCTCTCTCTCTCTCTTATTTAATTTTCTCCGGGCCCCCTCCTAAGATCTCCTTTCTTTGTCTTTCTCCTCTCTCCGACCCTCTGTCCGGTCTTTTCGCGCTGTTCCTCACCGCAAGTCGTACACGTGCGCACGAGCGCAACGGGTGCGTGTGAGCCGGGGCCGATCAGCATGCGTATACGCGTGCACGACGCCGCACGGAAGTGGTGTACGACGCCTAATGAAGTCGCATCGTTATGCAGATATTATGAAGACAGGTTAATAAGTTAATTGTCTGGTGTAACGCTCTTCTCCGCGGCTTAATGAACGTATTCAGAACGGTCGTGCCTCTCTCTTCGGCGGATCACAGGTAGGTAGGTACTCCAAGATGTTACGCGACACGGTGACCAGCAGCCGCAGAGGATTAAACGCACGATTCAATCAAGCCGTCTGGAAAAACGTGCTGCCTAATTGCTTTGTGCTGCGGGGAGGCGAGTTGTTGGCTGGCATTTCTCTCTGTCCAAATGGTAAAACCTTGTTCCCCCGGTCTGTAAATTGTCACGTTAGATCTTTCTAGCAAGTTGGAATACGCTAACAAGTTTGCTGGGATCATAAATTGTCTTATCATTGCGGAGCTGATATTCTATCGTACATGGAAAATATCTGAACTATTATAAATGGTGTGAAATGATCTAGAACATTTCAAGGCTAGGAAGGGTCTTCTTAATTTTATCCCATTAGGCTCGGGGACCAAATTTTGGTTGTGACTTCCAAACGTTTGGTAGCAATTACCAATCAAGCTTGCAATCTTTCGTCTATCTTATCAATTTTTTTGACAGTATTCCCCAAAGACTGTGCTCTCTAGGTTCGAGAAAATGGATCAAATATACCAAAAACCGATAAAATCAGCGAAATTGCGGCTCCAGATTACACAGTCGAGGTGTCTAATAAAGATCTCAATCCAGACTGTCATTGCCGGCTGCAAGAACGATTGCTGTCGCATACAACTGTGTGAATACGGTCAGCCCATGAGAACTTCTTTGCAACTACCAATCAAATTCTAAGAGACGGCAGAAGAGACACGTATAATCAATTATGCAGATTTACAGGGGCGCGCGGTGACGGTGATGGCGACCGCCGCATCAAACTTTCGCATTTCCGGTCGCGATTATTATTGGATAGGTAGCAATTTCGATGCCGGGGGGAGCCGCGGGACAACGGTGTTTACGTTCGGGTACGTCGGTGGCCGTCTTCTGCTCGTTTTCATCCGCCCGTCAACCTTCGTTCAGACCTTTTCTACTAGCACAGAACGTAGGGAGCGTATATACAAAACTTCTCTGGAGACGGCTCGGAGTCAATGACGAGGAGAAAGAGAAGGAAAGACGAGCAGGAGGAACCGGGGAGACGGAACGGGTGAAAGAGAGAAAGAGATGATGCGGCGATCTGTAAACGCCGTTGTGTGCCTCGTGCGTGTCACGTAGGCCCTGCCGTGTGTGGGTAATGTTTTTGCTCGAGGGGAAATGGTACCGCGTGTGTGGTCTTGCGTCGTGCCCCCCGTCCCCCCACCGTGATGGCACACCGCCGTATCCTAGCAACGTAGAACGCCACGCTGATTCGGCCAATCACGGCCGAGCCCCGATCGCTTCGGATAAACTCGGCACATGTCGGCCCCGACGTCACCGGTACCCGCAGGACCGTAGCACTCGCCCGCGAAAGCTGCGGCCTGCCCCCTGTCCAGCCCCGCGCGTGCAAGAAATTGCGATCATTCTTTCGAACTGCCAGCAATTGTTCACGCGCCGCTACCTTGCACACAGTGTAAATAGCAATGTTTTCGAAATTTGACCAACATCACAAGACGATCCGACGGATTCACTTCACTTTAGAAATTAACACTGAACCTACCCCGAACACCATAAGTGGTTAGTTTACGTTGCCTTATAAAAACGACACGATTCAATTTAGGCCGATTTTTGCTGCAAGATGGAAACTTGCCTTGAAACTTGTAAACAATAACTTGACCGACGATGTTAGGTTAGTTTTTAAAAATCCTGTAAACGAGATTTGAGCGTTTAAGCAGTTTCGACACGTTCGTTGGCAATGTTCGTTCGGACAACAGTCTGCGCGGTTTTGATGTTCTAACGAATGTATGGAACGTTGTCACATTTCTCACAGAAAATCTCGAAGTCCGTGTATGTACCACGGGTACGCGCTCCAAACGCGTAAAATCGACGTTCTTTATGAAACGTTGGTTGTCAGGCTGCCAGTGTACGCGCGAATTACTGTCGTATTTATTTCGCGGAGTGTCCCTTACCTTGCGACGGGGAAAACTGCGGGAAATCGTGGAAGGTCCGGTGTATTCGTATTGGTTCGAGAACGATCGGCGGTCTACGGCCCTGAATGTTTGTGCAGCTCGGATCTCGGCGAGCGGCGTCGTTGGAGGGGGGCCGTCAACTATGGCCGGCGCAGAAGGCAGGCCACGAAAGAAATGTGGCAGCGCATTTCGCTTAGTACGGACTTAGACTGCTCTAAGTGGCGGTCGTGTACGCCGGTGTCCGAGGACGAGGACGACGACGACGAGGACGACGACGAGGAGGAGGAGGAGGAGGGCGTCGTTTCGAAACGCTTGACAGTAAAGTTCCCAGAGGCTCGCGCGAAGCTCTCCAGCTGCACTCACTGGACCGTGGAACACTCTCGTCCTCTAACGTCGCCTACGCCTTCTTGCGTAAACCGGATGCTCGTGACGGGCGCGCGTTTACGAATTCGGCGGTCGCGACGGAGCCCGATCGGTGGCGGGGGGTGTGAATTCGTAGTAGAAAACGCGGCCAGGCCGAGTGACAACGTTTTGTGACAGTGACACTGGAGTGCCGACAAAGCTGTACGGAGGCTACGTGTCTCGATCGCGCCGACCGTGGACTCCTGTCGGCCCTATGACAGAAAAGGAGGGACACGTGTTCGTAAGTGCGACGAGATTCCCGCGAAAACAACGAACGATAATCGCCGACACCGTGGACCCGGTTGTCGCGTGATATTCAAAACAAGCGAACTCGCGTGTGCGCCCTCGTGTTTGTCGGCGGTGTGTCCCGCGAGAGGGAGATACCGGAATCGAAAGAGAAAGGGGGAGAGCCGAGTGAAAGAGAGAGACGAGAGAGAGAGAGAGAGAGAGTATCGGCCGGAGCAAAAGCGAGAGATACAGAAGGACAGAGAAAGAAGACGGAAGAAAAAGACGAATGCCCGAGGAGTCAGCGGTCTCGCGTATTTACTGTTCCGCGGTGGTACGGAGCTAACCTAAAAACCGATTCCCGGTGTCTCTGTTTTCTGTGTACATCGTCGACGGTCGCAGCACGGTGCGCCGCGGCGCATGCGCAGAACAACTTGTGTGTGCCTCGTGCGCGAATTTCGATTGCCGTGAGAATTGCACCGGCGACGTGTCCCCGGGAGAATCGCGCGGGTAAAATAAGGAGAGAAGACTGTCCGTCGAGATCGAACGTGTGCTGTGAGATGTGTTCAACGAGAAGTTCGTGCGAGCGTTAACGTGCAAAACGTCGGCGGGAGTGAGTGTGAAAAAATCGGTTCTTCTGTCGTGTTTTGTATTCTTGTCGTGCCTCGTGGTTTTCGAAGATTCCGACGACGACGACGACGTCGCGTGGGTTCTCGGCCCGGCGCGAACAGAAGCCGAGGAAAGGGAAAAGCGCGAGTCGAAGATTACGGGCGAAAAAACCCTCGACAAATACATCCCCGGCGGGGAGTAATATTACAAAATAATCATACTGCGAATTGTGACGGAGCGAATGCATGACGGATCATGGTTTCTGCGTCCGGCCCCACAGGGATCCTAGCGGGACGCCCTTCCGGTTCTCAGTGCCATCAAAGTCTCCAGTCCTCGCAGAACGGAAGCACCGGCAAGGCTCATCACGAGAAGCACGGTAAAAGTGTCGAAGACGCGAAACTGCGGCACGAGTCCGATCTCTATATCAGGCCCAGCTGGACGGATGCTGCGATAGCGTTGGATCAACTCGAGAAGGTGAGTTTTGTTTTACGTTCGCAGTGCGATTATCTAACGAGTTTCACCGGTGTACTTGCACTCTATCTAAGTGCATTGTAGCATTACTCTATTAAGATTATTTAGGTACACAGGTTACGTAATGATTTTAATGTGTCACGTTTATTTGTTGAACGTCGCCTTTTGTGTCCGTTTTTCTGACGTTGCTATCTGATTATTATAACAAGATCGTACTCCGTGTAGACTTATTCGTGGAGAAATTCTTATAGCATTCTGTGTAGTATTTTTGTAAGACAGAGAGAACACGCAGCTTTAGTTTACCGAAAAAGTTCCCGAGCTTCGTTCAGTGTCAATTTTCGTTATGCTTCGTTAAAATTAAATTTCCAAACTACACCAGTGCCGACGTTATTTTCTTTTTTCTTACTTTCATCGCATAGAATGTTTTTAGTGGATGAAGATGAAAGTTTGCATAAAGATCCAGGATATTTCGGTAAATAAACTATCGTGTAGAGAATAAGGTATCGGTTGAAGTCGAGAGTAAAATGTGGGTTAAATGTGATACGCACGCGCTATTCGAGTTTATTTGTCAAAATGGGGATAGAGTATGGGGGGAGTCTCGCGGTTAGGCCTGCACGTTTTGCGTGCCGGCGTTCAAATCTCCCGTGGTTTTCCTATCGCCGGGGCATCTAATCGATGAAGTACACGCTCTCTGCGGGTTATACAGGCGTCGGTATCTCCGCGAGGCTGCGGACAGTTACGCTAACTAGACGTAGATAATAGCTTGATCGCACGCCACTTCGTGAGCCCCGCTTTCGGCCGACACTCCGTCGAGATGGGAATATAAATTTGATGCAAATTACGCCGCGGTCCGTCGTAATTGCGCTTGTAGCTTTCTACCGGGTATCGGGATAAATGGGATAATTGCTGACGTTGACATCGCTCTGTCAGCCAAATAAAACGTCCGGCATTGTAACCGTTTCAAACCATTTCTGCTTCAGATTTACAAATCTACTGATTTAGACGCAACGAAGTTATGTAATTGCACGATTAAGGATGCAAATCTTTCGTTCGCATAACAGTGAATTATGTATATATATATATATATATTCTATTATATTAGAATATAATAGAATATATATATATATATATATTCTATTATATTAGAATATAATAGAAAGCACATATATTCTATTTGAGTAGAGTAATTATTTCCAAGGTTATACTATTTTATGTTATTTATATATATAACATATAAAATAGTATAACCTTGGAAATGATTACTGTACTTAAATAGAATTTGGTAGAACGTCGCGTCAATACATATCAGGCGAGAGAAAAATTGTCAATTTCGAAACTGCCGCAATCGTCGTTGATTTAATAAAGTGCCGAAAATTTAAGTCGCCTAAAATGGATCGCCTTAACAATTGAACCAGAGCACAGCGACTTTGGCGACCTGCTTATCCCGAGCAATTTGTACAGATAGTATCTACCACTTCCACCGGCGATGAAACATATGTTTCCATCGCGAGAAAGTGGCTCAAGATGAATTTCCAGGAAACAATGGCGAACACAGAAGTTTCCGTATAGAGTCCGAGAAGTACCCTTTTTACGGGCGCCCCTAAGCTTCTCTCTCGCGGCTAGCTGTAAACTTTCACACACGCGGGTGGTCCGGAGACGTGTTTTCGAAGGTGAGAAAGAGAGAGAGCGGAGCCGCGGTTCCGAGGGGGCTGAGGAACGGCGAAAGAAAGACAGAAGTACGGTTGAAGTGTGGATCGACGAAGGATCGACTTCCTGCTAAGGAATACACCACCCTCCTTGTTTTCTCTGACACGAACCTTTCGTACGGCTAAAAAAATCCCCCCGAACATAGACGGACCGACAGCGATGGCGACGACGACGACGACGACGACGATGATTGTGATGACGATCTCGAACAGTCTTGCGACACCGAGAGATCGTCCCTTCAGATCTTCCGTCTCGAGTGCCAGGTAAAATGTGCGTGGCACGTGAACGAACCACCAGGCTATATCGCCTTTCCAGCCGGCCTAAATAGGGTGGGGAGCGAGCTTTCGGCGGCCCAGGCCCTTTTCTTTGGCTTTTCTGAGAAAGGTCAGCCCTGCTTGTAGCATGGACACCTTCTGTCGTTGGGTTTCCCTTCGGTGTTGTCTTATTCCCGTTGCTGCCACCCTTGAAAACCCTGACGAATCGAAATCATTTATTTAACTCGCCTTATACGACCGGTATTGCATCTATTTCAGTGGGTTAGGATCATGGTGACGTATGTTGCATTTTCAGCGGGTTATGTTTTAAAGCGTAATCTGTACGTGCTAATAGTGTACGATGGATGCAGTTTTAAATTAACTTTCTACTCTAAATAATATTTATAACTGGCTCTGCACAAGAATAACAAGTTTGGATCGGGGTATATATTTAGGAATTATCGAGGATGCATCGTGGTGACTATTAAAAATTGTTATATGTCGCGTATGAAAATAATTTTTACGTTGTCAAATTTGTTTATATTCAACAATCTGTTATTTAAAAGACTGTTGTACGAGTCACAGGACCTAAAATAAAATGCATAGATACGAATGTTATAGATCAGCAAAACTGTTTTGGATTTAGCGTTCAAATGGCTTCGAGTGTAAAGGGTTAAGAAACTGGTTACTTCAAAAGAGAACTTGGCGGTTTTCTTCTGTACAACCGTCTCGAAAGATCTCCAATTTAGTGCCTCGAGTACGTTGGTCCACGATTCTATTTGTCATCGTGAAAATTGTTGAGGAATTCTCAGCTAACGTGCGAGAGATCTATCAATCGGTCCGCACGGTGCTTTTCATCTCGTTGATCATTCGCGAAGTATGTTCGGAGCACGAGCCTCTGTTCCAGTCGGACGAACACGGGAAACTTTGCGCCGTGGAAACCGCTTGTGACCACCCAGAGGGACTAGCTTCAGCAAGACGTATTCCAAGAACTGACGCTTGATATTATACAGTAGGTAAATATGTGTAAAATATGTACATACCTTCTTCTTGAAGGATCGAGAGCTATTGAACGTAACGAGTTACTTTATTATGATAATACCATACTTTCCACAACGTTGAGTCTGTTAATCTTCACCGAGACTCTATGATTTACGAATCACCGCGGTCTCATTAAGAGAACTTCGAATGACTGCGAATATTCCCCTCGCAGAACAGCAACATATATTACAGAGTTAAATGTCGAGAAGAAAGAAACAAGTGCAGTTTAATGATTTTTTTTTATTTCTACAAATAATGGCTCTTTCGCTAAGTACAACCGTGCAGAGGTGAAAGACGAGCAAAGCGGGTGATTATTGGGCATATTTACCTTCGTTATTAATTAACGAATATTAACGAATCATACCTCTATATACTGTGAACAATTAAAGTCGACGAGAGTGTATGAATATTTAACCTTTTGCGGACGAGTGTCGGCAAATAGCCGCTCAAGTCTTTTTACCGTTTTTTTATTAATTTATTAATTATCAATATAAATTTATTAATTTAACCGTAGGTTCAGAACGAATTTCAGTTCGTCGAGTCAGTCTTTCAGTGTCACTACCAGAGAAACCAGCAAAGTTTTCCACATATTTATAACATTATATTTTATAACATTTTTATTTTATATGCAATACATGTCGTCCACAGCGACGCTCGCCCGTCGAGCGGCTTTGTCCGTAAAGAGTTAAGCTTTGATCAACTAGAATTGTCAAGTTATTGCTTTCGTCGAATTTATATGGAACAAAACGGTGAAAGACCATCATGTTGTTATACAGGGTGTCCCAGATTTTAATGTTCAAACTTTGTCAGTATATTCCCTGTCTCTTATACACATCTAGATGTGTATAAGAGACAGATCGTCAACAACGGTTATTAATACATTTCGAAATGTATTAATAACCGTTGTTGACGATCTGTCTCTTATACACATCTAGATGTGTATAAGAGACAGATCGTCAACAACGGTTATTAATACATTTCGAAATGTATTAATAACCGTTGTTGACGATCTGTCTCTTATACACATCTAGATGTGTATAAGAGACAGATCGTCAACAACGGTTATTAATACATTTCGAAATGTATTAATAACCGTTGTTGACGATCTGTCTCTTATACACATCTAGATGTGTATAAGAGACAGATCGTCAACAACGGTTATTAATACATTTCGAAATGTATTAATAACCGTTGTTGACGATCTGTCTCTTATACACATCTAGATGTGTATAAGAGACAGATCGTCAACAACGGTTATTAATACATTTCGAAATGTATTAATAACCGTTGTTGACGATCTGTCTCTTATACACATCTAGATGTGTATAAGAGACAGATCGTCAACAACGGTTATTAATACATTTCGAAATGTATTAATAACCGTTGTTGACGATCTGTCTCTTATACACATCTAGATGTGTATAAGAGACAGATCGTCAACAACGGTTATTAATACATTTCGAAATGTATTAATAACCGTTGTTGACGATCTGTCTCTTATACACATCTGTTGATTACTATTCCTATTCTGAATTTTTGTTACAACTTCTTAATAAAGCTCTATATGACCTATGTTTACATAACATTTTTTTCTTACTTTGTGCCATAGAATACACTAACAAAGTTGGAACATTAAAACCTGGGACACAGGAGTCTACCGTACTTTTCCGCTGTTTGATCATCCACTTCCTGTGCCATTGGTCTCTGCCCATCAAACCAGTCGGAACTTTTCCGGCAGTCGAAATTGCACCGGCTTCCAAACTGATTATCTCACCGGGGCCATAATCAATCCTCTTGGCAGCGAACCCTCGCGGTGATCTTCCCCGGGATTCCGTAGAAATACGGTCGTCTAATTGCTCGGAGCGTCTCCGCGGCCGCTAACGCTCGGGAATAAGAAAAGTGACGCGACAGAGCTTCCCGAAGTCTAAAAATACTGTAGCCGGTTGAGTTTGCGAAGCAACTGGAACAGTCGGGCAGCACGGGGGAAGCCGATCGGGATTG